GTATATATATATGTTAAATACATGCACAGACAGAGCATACTACATGAAAATGTTTACAAACCCTTACTTGTCTGCTGGCCGTCCAGAATTTTCTCTGAAAAAACTCCAATTTCATCTGGATGCCCACAGCTGAAAGAGAAATAAAACAACTAAATAATTTTGTGTGTTGCGATCATAGGCATTATGATCCTTCTTAAAGCAGGAGTTGTCCAGTAGCCATGATCTGGTACAAACATATTCTCAACAAAACTTGAAAGCAATTAAAAGTCATTAAACATTGTAATTTTTTATGTAATTGAAATTGTCATCTTCATAACAAAAAACATTTAACATAATGACAAAACTATTTTTGACATCATATTTTATAGAGATTTTTAAGAGAACTGTTGTGTTTCGGTTTTATTTTTAAATTTCAGACATATGCCTGTGATGCAGGTCATGGTTTAGCTACCATGTTTTCATAACCTTACCTTTAAAATATTTGGTCATAGAATGACATAAAAGTTAAAACATTTCTGTCTTTAGTTTACCAGTGAAACGTTAATATGTTTTGTATTTTTTAAGCATTGTCTTAATAAATGAAACTGTGAAGGGTGGAGTTGGTGAAACAATGTTTCTCTTTGATATTTAATTTAAAAAAATGTCATCACTTTGTTTGGCAACAGAAAGAGTTGAATACCTGAGCACTGGACTGAGGCATGCTATATATAAATATTACATTTTGGCAGCAGTGTGCTAAATGTGCATATAGAAGCAGTGATTTAAACATTTAACTGATTAAACTAATAAAACGTGTTATTTTTTAGCATTGTCATTTATTATGCTTTATTTCTAAGCATGACTGGAAGATTGTGTAAAGGCATGCAGTGGGGTGTAACTGTGACCCATTTTAGCTCTTGCCCATAGGAACAGGTGCAGATTATCCTATCATAAGCTTTGCCAGATCCTTTCAGCAGCCCACCGTTTCTACACCCACATGAAAAGCCCAAAAGGAGCGGCTAATTTCAGATGCTGGGCAACCACAATGGAAACAAGATAAGGGGGGGGGGGGGGGGTGAATTATTACAATAATGACAGACACAAACTTTTCATACAAGGCGGCTGTGAATTCTCACAACATGCAGCTGATAAATACAAACAAAATATGGTAGAGACAATGTTTTAGGGAAGAAACTATTGATTATAAAGACATTATAAATACTGCAAAGGTTTGCTTTGAGAAACCAGCTTAAGAGGTTAAAAGTTCACCGATATTACAATCCACCTGGATGACTCTTCGGACTAAAAACTCAATTTTGATTTCTCTATTTCTTAGGAATTTCATGTACCGTGGAAGAACATTTAATGTCCCTATGCATGATTTAGGAACTTGGGAGGTATTTATGCCCTGGGATGGGTTTATGAGTCCAAAGATGAAGGGACAGAAAATCCACTCTAAATCCATCCCTTCACCAATCTCCTATCAGTTCAATCCCAGGCGGAAGGATGACAACTGGTTTATAGCCTACAGATTTGGGATTCTAATAAGGATTGTATAAATGTATATATCCATCAGCACAAGAGTGCTTTAGAGCGTGTTTAAGAGTATTAATGTTATTAGGCAAAAGGCAATCATGACGTGTTTTGGGGGTGTGCTGTTTGTGTGTCATTTCTTTTTTTGGAGTTTATGCATGCACCTATGTGCAATCTAGGGATAAAATAAATCWATTTCATCACAAGCAACCATACAAAACGTTTTTTGTGCTATATTGTAGCAATTTTATTTTCATTTTGATCCTCAATTTATGCACAGAATGGTAAAATAGCATAGATGTGGAAGCAACCATCAGTTAGCAACACATCTTGTTACTTCTTACCCAGGTATTTTTCGAGACAAAACTAAACCTTGACATACAGTTATATCAAACCCAAACTAAAAACTCAAATACCTTTAAAAACAAAATGCCAATGTGCAAAAAGAGGCTTTGAAAAAATAAAACAATCCTTAAGAATTTAGGTTTTCACATACAGTTGGTGAAACTATAATTCCAAGCCATCATCAATACGGATGGATGGATGTATGGATGGATGGATGTATGGATGGATGGATGGATGGATGGATGGATGGATGGATGGATGGATGGATGGATGGATGGATGGATTGATGAAATGTGGTAAAAAATACTGGGTCAGTATTCTTGAACAACAATGTGAGGGACTAAATAAAAAGCCCTCTGGGAGATAAACTAGTGCAGCTTTTATGATTTAACAKATGAAGCCTTACAAACAAAAGAAGGTGCAATGTATTATAACCATGACTGAATCCCATTTAGCAAAAACAAAAGTAAACAACCAAACTCAATCTGAAAGATGATATGCAGATAAAAACCTTTGGATGTTTGCCCCCAAGGTAACAGCAATGCACGCACTGAATGCATCATGAGCTGAATGAATCACATGAAATTGTAAGATATGTTTTTTTCTTTTTTCCTATTAATATTTTTAGATATAGCCGCAAAAACGGAACAAACTGTCTAGACACATCAACATATGGTCTTTTCACAGAAGCAAAGGTGACATCACACATTTGCAGATGCATTTCCTTGTGTCGGTGTAAATAACTTCTGAAATATGCACACGACTGGTATATGTGAGTGGGCTCCTCTACATRCTTTTATACCTTTTAAAACAATATGATCCACTGTTGGTTAATGTTGATACAGTATWTTGACTTGTTTTTCCAAAAAACTTTAAATCAGGGACATGGATGGGGTTCARTTTTTACTGACAAAATGAAAATAATTGTCAGGCCCATCAGCAGATAAAAAAAATAAAGATTTTAATCTGGATGGGCAGGAAGACAAATACCCCAGAGCCAAGGTCAGACTGTAAGTTTAACCATGGTCATCATTAAAAATGATTTGACCATTCATCACGGATCTTTTTTTTTTTCTGCTCATTTCTGCAAGAGTCTATCTTCTTGCAAGCAACATGAAAAAAAGCTATGCAAATTCACTGCAGCAGCTTAAAATTCAACTGTGTGCAAATGTGTGCATTTGTGCGTTCTGTGTTGCTGGGGCTGGGGGCGTGTTCAGTCAGCCCCTCTGCCCACGGCTTATGCATAATATCATCAGAGCCTGCCGCCACACAACAATGGGCACCCAATGTTCACGGTGCGTTAAAGCGGTTGGGTATCTTTGTCGACGTTCGGCAATCTAGATCTAATTTTGTCTTGTGCGCTTCTTGCCAGAGCAATAGTAGGTGTAACGTGAATGTCAGCGAATGTGTTTGTGCTGTGATTTAAGAGGCACAGCTGTCCACAGGGATATGACACACCGACTCGCACACCAATGCAACTAGGGATGGGGGAGCGCAAAACAGATCGAGAGAAATACAGACAGAGTGTCGATTTGCTTTTCAGCGGAGGGACAGAAATTCATCTGAATCAGTCAAGAGAAATGGTCAAGTAGAAAAAATGGCCAGTAAGTAGAGCACAGGAAACAAAACAAGGGGTTGAGCGATAGTGAGAAAATATAAAATGGGAGAGATAGAGTGAGAGAGGAATATATAGAGGGGGAAAAAAACAGAGAGGGAGAGCAAGCCAGTGCTTCTAACTGGAGTGATTCTCAGACTGGCTGGCTGGCAGCGAGTTCTGCGCTTTAATCCGCCTGATCTGACAGGGTTTCAAACCCTTGCGAACGCTGCTGGAGATCCTGAGGGCAACACTTGTTTCTGCAKCTTTTCCTGTTCTTTTTAAATTTCCACCTATCGACAAAGACAGAGTCAGGACGAGCCTTCCTCAGCCTCACTGTCGGCAAATGGATCTTAAACCGATGACAGACACTACAAYACATAAAAAGCATCTAAAAGGACACTGAATGCAAGTGGCTCCGAGACGACTGGCAGCTATGAGAGGTAGGAGCTCCATCAGTGTTTACTGTGGATGCATGTTTGTTTGCAAACATGGGTTTGTATATGAAGGTGTGCATGATGAAGTAGCTTCCTAACATTTGTTAGATCTCCTTACCATGATAAAATTAAAAGCAAATTATAGTTGTTTCTACATGTATTATAAAGACTAGCTTCCTTAGTGCAAATGGTTGATGATGTTTAAATTGCAGGTTAGGCAAATGTGTCATCATAAACTTTTTCGTGTTTGCTTTGGACTGGATGGATGCAAAAAATATCAGAGGAAAAATAGAGACTCTCTGTTGAGCTGACCTAGTTCTGTAGCTGATCATAATGCTTCACTAAGCTGAGTTGTTTATGCATGGACTTTATGTAAGTTTATTATTCACACAACACATCACATCTAATTAAAACAATCKTTCAAACGCATCCGTGTTCTGTGGACAGACAAGACTAACTGACTCAAAACTAACATGACATCAAACTAAATCTCAGCTCTGTCACGTTATGATGACTGATGCTTAATATGATACTGTATCATAGAAGCAAACTAAACACAGGATTTATTTCACACACAAGTCTTCTACTGAAGACAATTATTACACAGAACATGGCTTGGAAAACAGTAGCCCATGCTTTAAATAGCAGATCTCCACCTGGGGGTCAGGACCTCTAAGAGGGTTAGAGGATACATTTTGGATACTGAAAGCTAGTGAAAACATCCTATAAATAAATTGGATAATATATTTTGTACTGGAGATGTAATAATTATTTGAGCTATTAGTATAATTTATTCTAAAACAAAACTTGTCAAAGTCAAACCTTGCATGAACATGAACCTTTAACTGGTTTCAACAAACCCGAAATACAAACATTCCCTGCCTTTTTTCTGCAAATTTCTGCTTTGTTAACAAAGAATCTATAGCTAATTTTGATATCTACTGATAATAGAAAAAAAAATTACCTCAAAAATTATCCAAGCGGACCACTATGTCTAGGGTGTAAGGAGGAGTTTTGAAGTGCAAACTGGGTTGTAAACAAGTTTAGAACTGCAAACTAAAAGAACAGAATAAAGACGTATTTGCTTGCCAAGTGATACTTTGATTAATGTCTAAATTCCAAATGCAAATTGTGTGAGCAGAATTTATTAATCTGCTGCTGCACACTGTTTTATAATGTGCAAGTTAAAACATTTGCATGTGGTGAGATTCATGGCTGTTTAATGTGACAAAAATCAAACTGACGGCAATTCTGGCAGAAAAAAATGCAGTTGATCAGAAGAAAATTWGATAATATTTTTGAAGAAAAAGTGAAATCAGATGAATTAGCTTTTTATCTTGTTTATTTATAAAAAAAAAACATATTTGGTGTTGTTTTTCTCCATGTCCAGGATTTAGGGTTCGACTTTTGCGCTTGCTACATTCACAGGCTCAGGTCGGAGCTGCATTTCATTGAGCCTCAAGCTAGTCAAGCCGATGCTATAAATACAGCTGTAATGTTCCAGAAGGAATGGACAAGTGAAGTTACCTCAAAGGGAATCAGACACCCAATATGTGCTGTGTATGGATTTGTGTGTGGGTGTGGGGTTATGAAGCTTTGGTGAAGTCACCAAGGGTTGTAGGAGGGTGGTGGGGCGGGGGGGGTGCTGTTTGTCAGACAGGGAGGTGTATGTTAGTTCAAAGTTTATTTTTGAGTTGACAAGACAAATAAATAAATAAATAATGGACTTTCATATGAGATGAAGAGTGAAATAAATGTGTATATATTTGCCAAAACCTGAGTCCGGGGTTGATCTGTCTTGATAATGAACAAGATTAAGGCTGTTGTGTTGTTGTGTGTTACGCAACAACAGTACAGGTCATTGCTCAAAGCCATCAAATCGTGATTCAAGCTTTAAAAGAAAACACGATTTATGTTTTACAATATTTTGTCTGTGTCTCCACAGTGATTCTGGTGTGTGCCCTCTTCTGCCCTCTGTCTTTGTCACATGCCTGTCCAAAAGAGTGCAGCTGCAACAGCAACACCAAAGTGGTAGACTGTCGAGGTCGAGGCCTATACGACATTCCTCGACGGCTGAATTCAGACACCCAAGAACTATATCTCCAAGATAATCGCATCAGGGGGTTGGGATCGATGGCTTTTAGGGAAATACCCCTGGTTCGCATCCTTGATTTATCTAATAACTCGATAACGTCTATTTCACCAACTGCTCTCCTTGGTCTGAGGACTCTACAGCGCCTCAGCCTAGCCTACAACAGCCTGAGAGAGCTTGACAAGCGAGTACTGGGACCAATACACTCRCTCTCTCACCTTGATCTCTCACACAACAGGTCCATCTTTAACACTTRAAATTGTTCCATTTTTCTAAAGCTTGTCACACTCATTTATTCTTAGCACAAAAAGTAAGGATATATGTGTTTGGTTGATTATATTTTTGTTGTAACAATAGTTATTTGCAATAAAWCTTATACTGGGAAACTGATTAGCAGCACTTGGTTGTACCAGAAGCTCAAAACAACAGCAAAATAAGCTGTTTGGCAGTGGCGGAGAACACCTGGCGACTTTTTGATGTGCATAACCCACATACTCAGCTCACCTKCTCATCCCACAAATGCATGTTCCTTACAACTTTGGCACAATTTCTAAGGGAAATTTAACAGGACTTCAATGGTRTATTGCTGCGTTCCAGTTGCAGAAGAACTCCAAACTGTGAAGTTGGATTGGTGTCAGTTTCGAGTCGAAACCGTTCCAGTTTCCCGCTTGTCAGAATGTCAGAAAAAAAAAGAGACAATTTTTGCTCTGATGGAATAATACAATAATAACACTTACAATACTCTATGTGGTATTTTGAGGGTACAAACAGTGTTTAAACATATCACCCAATAATAGCTACAAAGTGATACAAGCAAGACTGACTAAATATAAAGTAGACAACATAGAACTGCTAAAAACCATGAAAGTACCGTATCTATTCATGTATAATACGATCATCATTTTTCGAGCTTAAAAAGCATTAAAAATCTAATTATCAATGTATAATACTCCCCCCCCCACACACACACACACTTTATGGATGTTTTTTAGGGTTAAATTTCTAGTATTACACATGAATAAATACAGTAAGAGTTTCCCTTTGTTGATGCGATGAGCAGAGATGTTGTAATGATGACTTCACACATGGTCTGGTATGGTTGTGTTGCACCAACTTCCCRACACAAAATTACRACATTRGGGGCTGTTCCARTTCAAKTCRGTTCAGTTTATTTATRTAGCGCCAAGTCACAACAACTATTGTCTCAGGGCACTGTGAAATTTCTGACTCTGAAGTCTGAAATYCCTGCCTCTGAGAACAACTGGAATGCAGCATAATCTTTTTGCTAAGAATCATTGTTACAACAAAAAATCTACTAAACTACTACTTACTTTTTGATGACTATATACATTATAATATAATACAAATTTGTTGTTTTGAGATCATGAGGCTCACTAACCCTCATCTATTTTGCCTTCCATGTCAGTTTATGGGGTTTGCCTGGAGCCCTGGGAGACAGTTTGCAGAACCTCAGTTATCTGGGGCTCGCCAACAACAGACTAACAAGACTGGACCGCTCGCTGCTGGATGCCCTGACCCATCTGGACAGCCTCACACTCCGAGGCAACCCCTGGAGGTGTGACTGTCAACTCATAAGCCTCAAACTCTGGCTGGAGACCTACCTCTTTAAAGGTTAGACCAACACAAGCTTTAGGCGGTCATTTCTTTTAAGCAGCTTCATGAACTTCATGTGCACTGGTAAARCATGGCAACATGGCAACATGTAAAGGGTCTTTTTTTTTTGCTCACTTGGATGGTTACAAGAGAAAAAAATGTGTAGAAGAGAGAAAAATAGAGTCTCAGCTGCAGAGGGCATTTTCCCCCATGTGGTTTGCACCCTGACCACTCAGCCAATATATTTTCTTCCACAAGAGTTGTTTTAACACAACATTTCAAAACTAGTAAGATAAAAATGGTGCAGTATGCATTCATGCAATATTGTYACATTTTCTTTTCTGCAATAACAGTGTGATCTAAAAATATGATATGTGTGTATTTTTTTATTATCACAGACAATGACACTAGTGTTAGGTTTGGATGAAAATAAAGATTGTGATGTAGGTGCATGTGKTTCTCACATTCATCAGTGTGCAGCAACAGGCATGTTAAACGATTCTGTAACATTTCACCACACTTGCTGTTGAACTARCATTGTGACCGGTTATTTGTGCAGGAGGGGGATTAAATGAGAGGTTAATTTAGAATTGAATTGTTGAATTCTTGCTTCCACAGCCCCTATTACAGTCACACATAAGTTTCTCACTTCTAGTACTGAACCCTCTCACATACAATTATGCATCTGCTCATACATTATCATCCTGCTTCGTGCTCACTGTCGGAACTTCAGCATCATTGAAATGATTGTGAGTCTGAGACTTGCTAATGCAATGTGAAATGTAACTATAGTATATGTCAGACTATACGACAGTACAACCCCTGGCAAAAAGTATGCAATCACCAGTCTTGGATGAGCACTCGTTCAGACATTTCATTCTGTAAAACAAACTCAGATCAAAAACATGATACAATTATAAATTCAGTCCAAAGTGCAACTTGTTGGCTTTCAGGAACACTCAAAGAAATGAAGAGAAAACATTGTGGAAGTCAGTGAATGTTACTTTTATTGACCAAGCACAGGGGAAAAAATATGGAATCACTCAATTCTGAGGAAAAAAGTATGGAATCATGAAAAACAGATAAACAAAAGACCATTCAAAATACATCATTAGTTGCACCACCTTTGGCTTTTATAA